CCCCCCTCCCCTCAGGCACAGGCCTCGGCAGCGGCAGCCGGATTCCAGGTACCCAGCCTGTTCCTTCCTGAGACAGGAACTCACAACTCAGCTGTGCAGACCCGGCTCCTGGAAGGGCCTCTCTGCTTCTTGGTCCCCTGACAGGACAGGAGAGAGGAGGCGGCTCCCTCCAGCCGCGGGCGCTTCTGCAGAGCGCCTCCCCGTGCCAGCCGGCGTCCTGCCAGCCCTCAGCTGAAGGGCTCTGGTTGAGAGGGCTCCGGTGGCGTGCCGGCCCAGCCTTAAGAACAGGCCTGCTCCTGCCCCCTCTCCCTCCTCCGACCAGGCCAGGCCCTCGGTGCTGCCCCACCTCTGGCTACTGCCTCTGCCAGGTCACCTCCAGACTCACTGGCCGGTTTGGCCACCTTCTTCCCATTCTTATCACTGACCCGCCCACTCCCTGAAACCCTCCCCCACGATTCTTAGGACCGGCGCCCACTTGCAGTGGCAGCCTCGTCCACGCCCGTGTCCCATGAGACACTGGGAAAGGCAACCTGCTGTCTGTCCGGACTGCACCCCAGGCCCATGTCCCTGGCTCTCACACTGGGCTGGGCCCTGGCTCTATCCCTGGCCTCTCCCTCCTGCCTGGTCCGGGTCCCTTCCCCACCTCACTCTGTGGGGGCAGGACACAGGAAGTGTCTGTGCTGCCTTGGGGCATGTCCCGTCTTCATGGGGGGGAGGAAGGGGGGCCGCCAGGGGGAGCGGGGAGCAGCTGCCCTGCAGGAGGGTGCTGCCACCCGCGGGCACATTCCGAGGAAGGCCGGGCAGAGGTGGCGAGGCCAGCTGCCTGATCAGAAGAGCCGAGTCCACCTGTGTCCCCTGATGCTCCATCACGGCCACCCCGACTGGGGACCAGGTGAGCGGCCGCGGCACCAGGCATGGCCTCTCTGAGCATCGCTGGAGGTCCTGTCCTGTCCAGTCCCTAAGGCCTCCCGGAGCCTCAGAGGGACTGCATGTCGTCAGCTGAAGACGGTCCCTCCTCACACGAAGGGGCTCCTCCAAGGCCGCCCGCACCCCACCACCCGGTCCTCCAGGTGCTGTGCTGGCCAGCCAGGCCTCCGCCCAGGGCCGCTGGTGCTGCGGGTGCCTTTGGCCGCGCTCCCTCCTGGGCTGGTGGCGGGCTCTTGCCGGGTCCTCAGTGCTCTGGGGCACAGGTTGGAGGTGTGTGACTCCAGAGCAGGCCACACTGGCCGCTCTCCCCGGCCTGGAGGTCTGTGGAGGCGAGTCCAGGTGTTCCCTGCTCTGCCTGGGCCTAGCAGGTGCTCCTGCACCTGTGGTTTCTTCCTCTTGGGCACCTGCAGGCCTGAGCGTGCTGCCCCTTCAGGAGCCTGTCGGACGCTTGGAGGCCTGGGCTCCCACTGCAGCAGCGGCGGTGACAGCGAGTCCGCGTGCGGCTGAAAGGCCCTGCGGGACAGACAGGCCACACAGGCTCTGCCCAGCACCTGAGTCCCAAAAGACCAAGTGGGGCACCTCGGACAGCAGCCTCCCCGGTCCTGGGGTGGGGCCAGAGGTGGCAGCACTGTCCTCTCCAGGCGAGAAGGCAGCTCCCAGCTGGTCTCTCCGCCCTGGCCAGCGCGTCCTCCATGTGAGGGAGCTCTGAGCAGGGCTCCACGGTGACCGAGGCTGCTGCTGCGCAGGCCGCAGAGCGCCCAGTTGGATTTATCAGTGCAGCGTGCAGAGCACAGGGTGCCTGGCCGTCCCTGGTGTCGGGGTGAGGAGGGTGCGGACCCCCTCCCCAGATCTTCCCCACAGGCAGCTGGGTGGGGGGGACTCAGGGTCCTGTTCACTGACACATGCGAAGAGAAAACCAGGGAGGGAGGGATGAGGGCGTGAGACCCGTCACAGCCACATGCAAGTCCTCCTGGGAGAGGACCCCAAGAAGGGCATGCTGGGGGCCCCGCTGCGCCCGGCAGACGGCAGAGGCCTGGCTGTGGGTCTGGTCGAGTCAGGGCTTTCCTGGGGTTGCCCTCGTCCCGAGCTCCTCACTGTATTCACAGCTGCCCCAGGAATGGGGACTGGAGAGGTGACAAGCTCAGGTTCGTAACTATGACAACCGACACTGCAGGGACCACAGGCCAGTTGGGCTGGTGTCTGTGGCACAGGGGGAGCCCTGGCCTCCCTCTTCCTGGGCCTTTTGAAGAGCCCAGACTTGCAACCCGCAGCCCAGTGCATGTCCATAGCAACCAGAGGGAACTTTGCTAAAGCCAGGACCAGCGTCAATCGTGATCTCCATGGAAACAGGATGCTGGCATGGTCAGAGCAGCAACTGGGGAAGTAACCGGGCCGAGATGGCAGGGAGCAGGGGCCTCCCCGGAATCTTGTACACACAAGGCCAGCAGCGAGCCGTCCTCTCCCCCAGTGAGACCTCACCTTCCCCTGCTCCGAGTCAGAGGCGCTGTCCTGCACCCAGGTCCTCCGCGCCGGCCCGTAGCCTGGCCGCTCACATTCACTGCTGTCCACACACAGACTGCTGGCCTAGGATGCCCTTCCTCACTGCCCCTTGACCACCAGACTCGCCCTTGAAGCTCAGCCCGGCAGGCCTCAGCGCCTGGCCTCTGCCCGTCTCCACCTGGCCCACCTGCCGGGTCCCTCTTCCCACCACCAGAGCTCTGAGGGGGCGCTTTCTTGGTTGAGACCTGCAGCCGGCCGGCTCCGTCTGCGAAGAGATGCTTCGGGTGACGTGAAAGGCTTTCCCCAAGGAGGCAGACGCGCTGACTGGAAGGGGGAGGCGGGGAGAGCTCTGTGGTCCCGCGAGTGGCGTGACCTTTGAACCTTCAGAGACCTAGTGTGGGGTCGAGGCCAGGCTGGGCAGTGCGTCCTGAGTGGGCAGGAGCTCGGCTGGGACTCACCCTCCCACGAATGTTCTGGGACACTCAGAATGCTTTGAAAGGGACTCCTGAACGTGTATTTCCTCTGTACGTTGGCAGAGGCGTAGCCACAGGTAACCCCGCTGGTCGGGGCAGACGCTCCTGAGGCTGTTTCCACGGTCTCTCCTGAGGGCTTACGCCCTGATCCCCTCGCAGCCGGTGCCTTCTGGGGGGTGATGGGAAACGGCTCGTTATATAGGTGGGTTGTTTGGATGTGGCAGCCTTTTGCTTTTTACGGCTCCAAACTGCCGAGTGGCGACAATGAACCCGGCAACCTGGTCAGATGCACAAATGGAGCCACGGCCCCTCTCCTTGGAGAAGCAGGACACACGCTCTTTGTTTATGGAGACTGGTTACTTGGGCTTTTCTGTTACCTGAGTAACTTGGTTTGAGGCTGCTACTCCTTCCAGGTACACCAGACCACGGGAAACCGGAAACACAAAGAGGCTGGCTCCACGGGCCAGGCCAGGCGAGCACAGCGCGTCGCATTTCACTCGCTCCGCCGGCGTCGGCTCTGAACCAGGTGTGCTCTTACCTGGGGAAGGGCTCAGCCCACAGATCCTATCGCCACTGCTCTCGGAGGAGGAGCAGCCAGTTATTTCCATTCGTGGCAGTGGCTTCCTCAGCCCGCAGCTCCCGGCAGGCCCTGCGGCGCGTGTGGGAGGAGGGGCCGGTGGGCCTCCGAGGACGCCCGGGACGGCCTGGCTCCGCGGCACATGGAGACCCAGCAGCATCGAGTTTTGGCAACTCAGATGAGAAGATTCCCCTCCTTCCTCTGCACTGAGCCTCTGCTTGTGGAACCTGTGCAGCGTTTCAGGGCCGGGGCCGGGCCTGGGCGGCTGCCCAGTCATGCAGTGGCTTTAGCCTGAGAAGCTGAGGAGCCCGCAGCAGCAAGAGGAACTATGGGAAGCACTGCCTATGGCCGGAGCGCGACTGGTGTGCACTCACACAGCGGCCAGTCTCCGGGAGGTCATGCCTCCCGCCCCCAAGACACGGCCGGGTGGCAGTTATTTTGTCAGGATTCCCAGCATCCCCTAGGGCAGTGATGGCGAACCTATGACACGCGTGTCAGAGGTGACACGCGAACTCATTTTTTTGGTTGATTTTTGTTAAATGGCATTTAAATATATAAGATAAATATCAAAAATATAAGTCTTTGTTTTACTATGGTTGCAAATATAAAAAAATTTCTATATGTGACACGGCACCAGAGTTAAGTTAGGGTTTTTCAAAACGCTGACACGCCGAGCTCAAAAGGTTCGCCATCACTGCCCTGGGGCCTAGGCTGTGAGATGGAGCAGCGGTCCCTCCTCCTCCCATGAATCACACAGGCCTAGTCCCTGTGTTCTCTGCACGGCTATCATTTTCCATTGTCTCCTAGACAGTCCGTGTGCACACTGTGACCTAAACCCCACTGGTGGCCGTGCCTGCCTTTCTCTCACCCTCAGCCCACAGGGGCTTTGAGCTACAGGGAGGGCAGGTCAGTGTCCATGTTTACATCCCCCCCAAAGCCATGTCCCCTGTGCTCAGGATGTCCCCCCACTCACTAGGGAGCAGGACACCATTGGTCGGGCCTGAGCCCACCGCCCTCGGCCATGTGTGCCCTGAGCACGGGCATCATGGTGTGGCTTCCCGCCTGGGCAGTCGGCACTCACAGAGCCGCGGTTGTTAAAGGCCGGTCATCTTCCGAGGCCTGGTCACCAGGAAGCTGCCTGAGGCCCTGGTTGGAGAGTGCCTCTTCGCCGCCGGCGGTGCCCACTGGGCCCAGTGAGGACACAGCCTGGGAACACGGTGGGGTGTGCAGAGGCTGTAGAGCCAGCTTCTTGCCCCGTGAGTGAACGCTGGCCTCGGCCAGATGGGGAGATAGCGGGAGGAGGCCGGCTGCTGGTTGCTTAAGATAGGGAGCTGGTTGTTTACAGGCGGCAGGGCGCAGCGAGCGGATAAAAAGCTGTGGACGCAGAGGGAGGCAGCAGTCCCGCCGCTGAGCCCACTCTGCCCCATGCACAGGACATCACTGGGCCACAAAAAGGAAATCTCGCCGTTTGCGACCACATGGATGGACCCAGAGGTATTGTGCTCAGTGACACGTCAGGGGAAGACAGATGCCATATGACCTCACTCGCTGCGGAATCGGAAGAACAAAGTGAAGCAACAGAAAAGGTGGCGAGGGGACACCGAGGTCTGCACGAGTGCACGGCTGTGACAGGACCGCCCAGAAGGGGCGCCGAGCGCGAGGCCCCCTCTGACCCGAGGAGCCTGTCCGAGCCAGGGGTGACCTACTTCTCCAGGAGCCCAGCCAGTTAGCCACAGACTTTATCTCCCATCAGCCGTGGCTCGGAACGCGCTGAAATGTTGTAATCACGAAAGGACGAGAGCTGTGACCACGGGACCCAGAGGGCCTGGTCAGTCCCTGGAACATGTGGTGCCTCCCTCGGCCGCGGGCAGCCGCTCAGCTGCCTGGGAAGGTGACTGACCCTGCCCGGGGCTGCCCGG